TACCAACGCCGCCATATTGTGATGTTGCTACAGTAATGTAACATGTACGCTAAAAATCGATATTGTTCGGTACCGTGCGTGAATGTTGTCATTTTTTTTTTTTTTTTGCGTGGCAAAAAAAATATGAAAAAGCTGTTAAACAGTGCTTATTATTCTTTAATGTTGTTATTATTAATTATATTTATTGCTACATTAAAATAAATTGCCAGGATATAATCTTTAACTATTTTTCTAATTGATTGAAATCTTTAAAATGATGCGGAGAAACTTAATTTAGACCTCTTTTTTTATAAACATGTTTATTAAAGGATAAACAAATACTGTATTTCATTAAAATTTATTTTGTCACCACTCTGTAGTATTATCTATGTTAGAATAATTATGTTAGTTACAACTTGCTGCGTATTAAAATCAGCAACTCCTTGCCTAGGAAAGTTTTGTTTTCCAAACGTGCATTACGCTATGAAAGATTTTTTGAATTCAAATGGTAAATTCTTGCGTTAATTTTTCATTCCTCAACAGTTTTCAGAAAAGTAAAACTCGTTACTCCGAGCGCCCATTTTTTGTTTGCCTGCGTGTACATGTACAATTTATCCGTGTAATAAAAGACTATAATCATAGCATGCCGTAATGGCCTGGATATTTGGATGTTGTTTAAGCGATGTTCCAGAAAAGTTTTTGTTCCGGTATAGAAAAATATATTCAACCATGTATTTATTTTTGAAACGTTACGTGTCAACTATTCCACAACGCCGACACCGGTACGCTGACCAATATACACTTCGGAAATGTTGACACTGCGCAGTTCTGTTTCTTCCTTACTTAAATTCTTTGTGTCAACTTAAAATTTATAAGATTAAGTTTTAAAATAAATTTGATTTATAGATAAGTATTTAAATTGGAGCCGTGATTCCTATCCGGAATCACTTAAACAATTTTCCATGCTGTCATGGTCCAAATTGTAAAGAAAAGTTATTTTTAGATTGTAATTACATGTATTTATTTTTCAATTTATAATTATAAATATACTTGATGATTCATTTTAAAGACGATAATCTCATGCTTAAATTTCTTTCTATAATTCATTTATGAAAATTGTTTAAACGGTGGTAAGAATTTAAAATGTGTTACGGTCACGAGTTTCCTCGGTATATTTTCCCGGCTCTGAATTAACGCAAGATATACCAACTTTTAAAGTTTTGAGTTGTGACATTTAATATTTAGGAACTATTTTCTGGTTTTCTATCTAAATTCACTAGAAGGTTAAAAATTATTGGAAAAAAAAAGAACTGAAGAGGCGCCGTGTTTTCTTGCCGATTTTAAAAGTTCGTTTTCCAAAGCAACAACTTTAATACTTAGCAATCTGTATCATATTATTGTTTAAAATGAGTAAACGTGTTGCATAACCCTTAAATCTTATATGATTGGACAAGAATCAAAGAAATCACAGACACTTTGGGTATGGAGCTCAAAACGCCTTTAAAATCCAAATGAAACGTATATTTGTCAACGTTGGGGTGCCACGTTTGAATTTGTCGAAAGATTTTGTAAATGGAGTAAAACGGCGATAATCTCGATGTTTATTTCGGCTGTTGCGTTGTTTATATTGATGTTGAAGTTTAAAATTGACCATCACCGTGAAGAATTATATCTTCTGTGTCGATGGACCAAAGGATTATGTGAAAATATTGGAAATGGAATAAAACACATGGTGTTTTTGACGGTAGGTGTGCGGATTTATTCCGGCGAACATTTTTATCTTGTGTATTATTATAGACGTTGAAATATGATTTTTTTTCAAAACGGCTTATATTAAGTATTTATATATATATGTATATATATACATGATCAGTACATGTGCTGGGATTGACAAATATGCATTTCTTTATTTTAAAATCGTTTTGAGCTCCACACCCTACACCTCTGTGAAAGAAATTAGCGGCGTAGCGTTTTGTTTATGTATAACATTGTAAAATAACCGCCTGCGTGTATTTTATAAAGGAAAATAATCTCTAAGACGGCATAAAAGTGAAATGTATGGAATAAATCTTTACGGTATACCAACATTATGAAAGTCTATTGGAAAACAAAAAAAAAACAACAAAAAAAAAAAAAATGAAGCGGGCCACATGTTTCATGAAATAAATTTCCGAGTATTTTTCTCTGTACCACGGTCATTTCAAAACAATTTCATACCTACGTGTGTGCGTGTGTGTGTTTTTCTTTCTATAAACATCTTCAGAAAGCTTTTTGGAATAAACTAGCAAGAATTATGGACCTGCCTGGATAAGAAAATAAAAAAAAATAAAATTACATGGAATGTACATGTGTCGAGGCACCGCGTTTGACATTTATTCGTTTTATACCGCGTTTGACATTAATTCGTTTTATTATTGATAAAAAATATTTTGAACATTGAAAATATCGTTTAATAGTTAATCAACATTAATATAAATAACAACATTAATATAAATAACAGACTGTCAAATTCCTTAGAATGGCGTCCTCTCGTAGTCGCTAAGGCACTAGGAATCCGTTCGTTGCTCTTTAAACATATAAACCTCGTGTTTCTGCTATTAACATATTCCTATTTTCATCATAATCGTAAAGGAAAAAAATCTATAGTTACCAATAGGTCCCATGTCCTATATTTTCTGGGAAAGCTGAACAAAATATTATTTTTACAACTAGAAAATATTTTGTGAGGAGATTTACAGAGTAGGCCTGGCTTTTCTAAAAAGATAATGATGATTCTGATATTTCTAAGAACGCTTTGACAATAACGAATAAGTTTTGCATCTGCCCCAATAAAATAATATTTTCATCCTTTCATAGTTATTTTTTTTTTCATAAATAAATGTCTTAAATATAACATTAAACTTGATATTTTACTAAGAGTGTTTCGGCGTTTCTCAGTAACGCAGTACCGCATACACACCAGTGTAGTAATCAACAGTGTATTTGTCACGTGACATTAGCGGCGATGTCTTTATTTTGATGGTTGATGTGTTTACTTTTCTATCAAAATCTTTATGTTAGGAATATTTTCACAAATAAAACATGAAATTGATGTAGAAATGAATAATCTTTAAAGGTATCGTAACAAATTTATTCAAATATGAATTCTAATACGATTTTAGACGGTCCAAAGCTTGCGCTCAAAATCCCGGCGCAAATTTCACCACAGAAAAGGTACTTTTTAGGTTGTACGTAGAGGCGAGATATTGCCCAGACACGAAAATAGCACAATATCTCGTCGCGCAGTACAATTAGTTGGACTAGCGTGGCACTCAGCTCTGTCGTATTTAAATGCGGTGCGCTATGAATGTGAGAACCCGCATTATCCCGAATGACTCCGATTATAGCAAGGCTGGTTCAAAGCGCATTTATATACAGCATATCTGAGAGTCATTTTGTTTTCAAAAAAGCGTATATTTACTTTCATTGATATATATAATCAAACTATATGTGTTAGGATTAACAAATATATATTTCATTTGTATTTTTAGGTGTTTTGGAGCTCAACTCCTAAGTGTTTGTGACTTTAACGTTAAAAAAAGACATAAATGATATCGGGCCCACCGCACTGCGTTGCAATCGAATCCACCACCGTCTGCGTTGTAATCAATTTTTGTCAATTCTTTTATTAAAATGGTAATATCAATTTCAAAAAGTTCCAAAATATGGTTGTTTTGTGTAATTATCATACATACGATGCGATGCCAGTGTATCTAGGGGTAGTTTTTAGTACATATGTAGTGTTATAAACAAAATTAGGCAAAAGTGGCGTCCCCTCGTCAAACTGTACAGAAGTGTTTGCAAAACTGGTCATGATTTGCACCCCATGCGTGTAATAAGTTGGAAGAGTACAAATGTGGGCTCCAGTCTCACTAGGTGTTATCAGTAAAACATAAAAACATAACGTACAAATAAGTCATAAACTTACCGACACCAGCAAAAATCTATCCGACAGCCATGTTTTTCCACCGCTTCTGCGACGAAATCTCCATCGCCGCACCGGTAGACCCACCGCTTCTGCGAAAGCTATGGCCAGTGTGATACATCTATGGTTATTTCATATGTGAAAGAAAAATTAAAATTCTTTTATGCATACTCCGACATTACCACCACATTCTATATTTATATAACATAAAATTACAAAGTTTGAACCCCCACAGTGACCTTCCCCTTGGTCGTAGGAACCCGAGTCTTGTTCGCGACCCATCATACATCTATGGTTATTTCATATGTGAAAAGCAAATAACAATCCTTCCATGCAAACTGAAGTTTCAGAGTGGACACGACCACCACCTTTTTTATTTATATAACATAAAAATGACAAGGTTTGAACCCCCACAGTGACCTTGACCTTAGTAGTAGGAACCCGAGTCTTGTTCGCGACACACCATACATCTATGATTATTTCTTATATGAAAGAAAAATTAAAATCCTTTTATGCATACTGAATGCGGACACAACCACGACTGTCTATATGTATAAAGCGGGACTGACGGACTGACAGACTGAGTGACAGACTGACAGACAGAAGAACAGTTCGATTTTAATATGCCATCCTTATGGGACATAAAAAAAATAAAAAAGTACTGAAGAGTTGTACTCTTTTGCTGCATTCTTTACAAAGCTTCTGCAACAATTTTGTTTTGTATATCATTTTGTGACATTTTCATTAACAAAGAAAGTGAAAGTCTTTGGGTTTTTTTAGTAAAGGTTTTACGATTGAGTGTCCAAGGTACTTGACCATAAGTAACCTGAACCTCGCCCTTATCTGGACAAAACCATTCATCATGATTTCGAACAGTCGAACAGTACAGACAATGTTCTTGATATGGGCTACTCACATACTTATCTAAATGCGACTGTGTGTACATGCATACAAATATTAAATGTTTAGAATTGAAACGTAATGGAAATAACGTTCATTTAGTACACGTTTTTAAATACATTTGTATATGCAAACATTATGTCATTTAAAATATTACTGTTAATCCTTTTTTGAAAGTTTCTTCTCCAAGGACAAACCGAATCATACGAATCACGGAGCCACCCTGAAATATCAAACAAAAATAAGCATGTACATTCATTTCCACCGAAGAAAATGCTCAGTTAATTTTCCTCGGCTTTTAAGTCATTAAGAATCATTATTAGGTGGTTAACATTTAATTTAAAGGGACTATTGCAAGGTATTGCACCATACAATAGTATTACATGCATCTGTAGTAAGTCGAAATATGTGAAAGGAAACACTCTTTAGTTCTTACTGGGATTCTTCCCTTGAACAATAATCAAAGAAAAAGATGAACACAAAATATCTGAAAATTTATAAGTATGTGAAATACTAAGTATCTTCTAAATTTCTTCTGACATCCATTTTGCTCATGTAAATGTTATCTGTTTTTATTCTATATTTAAACACTATATATGAAATACGTAAATAAATATTTTGCCGAGGTATTTTGTATAATAATGTAATATTATGCAACAAAGCATATGATTGGGCTTTGTACAAAATCTTTTCTGAAGGTAAAATAGTTATTTTCAATCTTGTTCAGATATTCTTTGCTAATTTTATTCTCACTACTGAGGGCATATTAAACGAATGTGCAATTCTAATGAAATTTATCACTCTCATGGACTGTGTAAAGATAAAATGATACAGCTACGGGATTTGTGAACGTTCACTTGTCTGTGCAGATTTTAGTTACCTTTGCATAGGAAATGGTGTCAAATATTTCGTGAATTTCATCCGGGTTATCGACGGGTACATAAATAGGATGGGACGTCACTAACGAATCAAATTCCATAGCTTGGTGCACTTCATTAATGACAAACTGTTCAAACTAAAAGCAATGATAAATTTTGTTAATACGACTTATAAACAAAGAATTAATAATAAACACAACGATTTTGTTAATCATCCGAGTACAAATTTTAAAATCGGTTACAAACAAATCATCTTAAGAGTCACCAAAAATGGTTCAATATATTGTGTACATATACTAACAAAATGCTAGGTTATCTTACTTTAATCAATGTGTTAGGGTGGACATAAATAATTACCAGTAACGCTAAAATTAATTCCGACTTACTATCATGTCACCAGTCCAGTGTAGACAACACGAAAAGTAAACTCATCAAAGAAAATAATTTACACAGCTTAGACAATGTAAAAGTCATAAATTATAGGAGAATCATTCTTTTTCTTAAATTATATCAGTCCTTACAACTAATAAAATATGTTCTATGATACAAAAGCGGTAATAAAACATGTTCTATGATAAAAAGTGGTAATAAAACATGTTCTATGATAAAAAGCGGTAATAAAACATGTTCTATGATACAAAAGTGGTAATTTACCATTTCCCAATCAGGATGAATCATATCAGCACCTAAGTATTCAACAAATGTCGCAAAACCTTCGTTAAGCCAAATGTCATCCCACCAGTCCATAGTTACCAAGTCTCCGAACCACTACAATTACATTATAACATGAAAAAACCAACAACAAAACATGTCATAATTCAATCAATGACTGATTGTAGTATTTAGACTTTTATTTCACACATTTGATAATATAACACGTTGGAACCACGTGCATTTCCAATAGAAATCATTTAATTTATCGAATCACATCTTATCATGTTAGCATTGTTCCATTTCCAGAGTCCAAAAATATTCATATCAAATACATATCACACTCAACCTAAGTCCTAAATATCTATATCAAATGCATATCACTCCCAATATAGCCTCGTTTTCATTTTCAGAGTCTATAGTCAAATGCATATCGTACTCTCTTTAGCCTCATTTCCATTTTCAGGGTCAAATGTTTATATTAATTCATTACTGTACTTGCAAACACAAAGAAGTTCTGTCAAAATGTTAAAAAGTGAAATAAAAGGTTGGTCATTGTACATTGTATTTTTTGAGAACAAAACTAACTCAATTGGACTCGTCCACATATGCGAAACCTATATCAGACGCGTCTAGCACTCCGCCAAATACAGATTTGACAGCTGTGTACTGTTTTAATATCATTTAGTATTAGACTGAACAATGTATAATAACCTCATAGTACTCATCAATTATATGAAAGCGTTTTAAAGTTTGTAGCCAGCTATATATCATTTTTGTGACTTTTTTCATGATAATCTACAGGAAGACCTTTCCAAACATACAGCCAGAACAAATAGGGTTTAAACAGTTTTATTTTTTTTTATTAAAACGGTGTATCATTATTTTAAAGAGATATGTAGTGGATGTATCACAATGGAAACAAGCGATATATGATGGCTCCTCACTTATTACCATGAAAGCTTTGCATTGGAATACATTGGTTGCAGATAAAAGTACTAAAGGGCTTAAAAAGACGAAGGATTGTCTATTGAAATAACATTCAGCAATCGACCAATTAAATCAATCGCACGTCTTGAATAATAATAATAGAGAAATGCAAAAACTAAAAAAAAAATATCAATCATTAATTGTGCTCGATGTTTTAAATTACTAAGATATTTAAACTAATCATGATGTTCGGAATGTTTTCGGTACTAAACGTATATTTTATTCGGACTCCTGTGGATATATATGTAATCAGAAATTATAATTACGTACTATCGGGAGCAAGGAAAAAATCAAACTAAAAACAAACAAACTAACAAAATCGCAACCCAACGACATTGTAACTACCGATGCACACGACAGGTTAAAAGTAAAGTCTTATTATTTTTATTTGTTTTGATTTCCTTTCCTTCAATTAAAAGAAAAAACGCAAAAAACTACATATAAATATGCTTCAAGCCCTAAGCTTGCAATGACGCTATGTTACTGCAAAAGAGCAAAATAAGCCAACTATTTAGACAAGCCAAAGCAGTTTTGGTAGCTTTACAGAGACGAAAGCAAAAATAAGGTACACATGTACATAAACAAAAGCAAGAAAATGTTACACAGAAAAAACAGCAAAAAAAAAGTTACACAAAAAAGTTACACAAAAAAAAAAAACAAAAAAAAAAAAAACAAAAAAAAAAACAACAACACAAAACAGTTAAATAAATATCAAAAGTAGCCTAAAACTTTACATACTATTTACACATCATCCAGTTATATGTATCTCGTAAATAATGTTGGTGGTGGCAGCTAATGCTTCGGTGTGTTTGCGGTCTAAAATTTGTGATTCTTATTGTGCATAATATAAACATTATAGTAATTTCAAGTTATATGTAAATGACTGCAAGTTATATGAAAATGATTGCAAAATATATATAAATGACTGCATGTTATCCGTTAATGATAGCAATATATATGTAAATGACTGGAAATTATATGTAAATAACTGCAGGTTATGTGTTAATGACTGCAAATTATATGTAAATGATTGCAAAATATATGTAAATGACTGCATGTTATACGTAAATGATAGCAATATATAGGTTAATGACTGGAAATTATATGTTAATGATTGCAAGTTACATGTAATGATTGGAAGTTAAATGTAAATGCTGCATGTTATATGTAAATGACTGCAAATTATATGTAACAAATTGAAAAGTATTTGTAAATATCTGCATGTTATACGTAAATGATTGCAAAATATATGTAAATTATTGGAACTTTTATGTTAATGATTGCAAATGAGATACATATATATATGTAAATAAATGATTGCAAAATATATGAAAATGACTGCATGTTATACGTAAATGATAGCAATATATATGTTAATGACTGGAAATTATATGTAAATGATTGCAAGTTACATGTAATGATTGGAAGTTAAATGTAAATGCTGCATGTTATATGTAAATGACTGCAAATTATATGTAACAAATTGAAAAGTATTTGTAAATATCAGCATGTTATATGTAAATGATTGCAAAATATATGTAAATGATTGGAACTTTTATGTTAATGATTGCAAACGAGTTACATATATATATGTAAATAAATGATTGCAAAATATATGTAAATGACTGCATGTTATACGTAAATGATAGCAATATATATGTTAATGACTGGAAATTATATGTAAATGATTGCAAGTTACATGTAATGATTGGAAGTTAAATGTAAATGCTGCATGTTATATGTAAATGACTGCAAATTATATGTAAATGATTGCACATATATGTAAATGTCTTCATGTCATATGTAAATGTTTACAAAATATAATTATGTTAATGATTGGAGGTTTCATATTGATGGTTGCAAATGTGTTACGTATATATGTAAATGATTGCAAGTTTTATGTAAATGATTGCAAGTTATATGTAAATGAAGGATTTCATTTTTGCAATTTATCATCACCTGATGACCCAGTTCATGAGTTATGATTGTCACAATTCTTTGTCTGTTCATCTCAGATGATACCCCTCCTGTAAACAACATGGCTGACTCTCTATATGTGATGAGGCCCCAATTCTCCATTGCACCAGCCCGAAAGTCTGGGAGAGCTATCATATCTGAATTTTGTAATTAGAAAATACTTCGTTTACAAATGTGAAATGGTGGTATTTTGAGTAGTTTACCATGCAATTACATCAAGATTTTTGTAACCTGTGTAATTGTTTCCTTTATCTAAACCAATTCTTACTACGACGCAAAACCAGAAGCGCAGGAAGCAAATAGCTTATTCAAAAACGTTTGAACTTTGACCTGATGTGCAAGTTCATGCGTGATGACAATTGTCACCCTTTGTCTACTTTTCTCTGACGTCACTTCCTGATTAAACAACATGGCGGTTTCCCTATATGTAATCAAACCCCAGTTTTCCATTGCATTAGCTGCGAAATCCGGTATGGCAATCATATCTATGTGTCAGAAATGGGAGATATTTTTTGCGCACACATTTTTGTGAAAACAAAAATATTCCTTTAAAGTTTAACCTTTTTTACCCACATTTAATACAAAACGGTCAAAAATCAATCTTTTTTTATTCGGGCAAAGTGATGATTACAAAATGTATTGGCAGACATGGACCGAGAAAACAGAATAATAGTTTGATAACACGAGATACCGCCATGTTGAAAAATGCATTGTGGTAAACATTAACCTGGTGTGCCAATTCGTGTGTTATAACAACGGTAACCCTTTGTCTATTTTCCTCTGATGACACTTCCGGGTTAAACAACATGGCGGTCTCTCGGTATGTTATCAAACCCCAGTTTTCCATTGCTCCAAGTCCAAAATCAGGAATTGCTATCATATCTAGATAGATAAAACATATCGTTTCACTATACTGCTCATTATTTATTTCACTAACCAGAATAGTTATGTATTACTTTGCTTTTACGAAAATAATTGTGCAGATCATGAATCTAAAAAAACATTTTACATTCTATCCGACTTAGGTTTTTATTCTTGATTAATTTTTTATTGTCAAACAATATTTGGGTTAAAAACTTAGATAAAACCAGAACTTATTCAAAGTCATGATACACATTTTAAATGAAAAATTATTCATTAATTCCTTAACAAAACATCTTGTTAGTTTGTTTTGTTAGTTTGTTTTCTATAGAATAACAACAGTACAATGTATATCAAATCTATTCTTTAATTTAATGCATACATACCTTGTTTGGGTAATGGAAACGGAATGTCAAAATATTTTTCATAATTATATATCGTATTCACACCAACATCCAATGCAACGTGAGTCTGGCTCACAGATTCGGGTCTCGCCCAAGCTCCATATTTAAGACCATTTTTTGTAACTCCTTGTGTCTTGTTGAACTGACCAATTACAAATGCTAGTAAGTAGGTTGACATCTTCTCGGTTACATTATACCTATCTTCAACATAGCCGTTTTCTCTGTGTGAAATAGTAGAAACACAGTAAGCAACATTTATTTCAGAAGAACTACTGCTACAAAATAACAATACCGACGACTTGACAAAGTGTGCTAAAGAACTCATCCTAAACTTGATTTTTTTAAAAGAATCTTTAAGAAATCTATCATGACATGACTGCGTGTAATGCAACTGGATACGCTGCATTTCAATGTCTTTGGTCCTAGTTTCAAGTGGAGCTTGGATTTTTTCATGCGAAGAAGGTTTCTATCCAGTATATAGGAAAGTAAAAAGCGAGGGCTTCTGGTGTCTGTGTTGACCAGTTTAGCTGAGAATCCGTCTCTTGACCTTTACAGTTTCAATGTAATGCGATTTCTTCTACAATATGAGCAAAATACATGACTGAAAATTGTAAATACAAAATACAAAAACTCTTACATAGGGTTTGATGTTACAATCGGCATGTTTGACAGCGACATCAGATGTTTCTTTCTTACTAAAGTCACCTTAAAGGTCGCCTTCATCGCAGGTTCGTCAAAACATGGGAAGGCTTTCCTAGCATCTGTCGGTTCAAACTGGGTTGTAGCTAGGTAGCTACAAAAATATTGAAACAAAAGTTTGGAAAAATTATAGTATTCTTTATCATCAAATTATCTATGCTGCAAACGTCATGATCTTTGATACTCAAAAAGCAGACAATACGCCTCCAAGTTAATTCTTCAAATTCGTGGTCATCAGGATTAAACAACCCCTTTAACTCATCCGGGTATTTTCATTTCGGATGGTTTCTCAAAAGCAATGAAAAAATGCAGTGAAGTGAACAATGTAGTTTTTAGCTCTTTAAATAAACATAGGGGTTACTGTTATTTTATGAATTATATGACACCCTTATAGCAGAAGCGAATGCTGACGGTCAATACGACTTAAATAATGTATGCATAACAAAATACCCGTGCCATTACGTCCTAATGAGTAAATAGCAAAATATCTAAGAGACCGAATATGTACTAAACAGGTAGGGGTCAACTTTGAAAATATAATCCCGATAACTATATCAAAGATAGAAAAGATAAAACATTAAACGGAACTATTTGCGTGCGATAATGTTGAATGAATTTCTCCTGCTTTTACTTACACGGTGTTATTGCCTTCTTTATAACTGCTAAGATAAAACCCTTGCAAATCGTCTTTCAGGGGTCCAACAAAGTCCATTGACAAAGTATACTGTGTCCCTGGTGTAGTGTCTTTATCGAAATGAACTATCAAAAACTGGCGTTCCTCGTCTTCCGTATATTTTACGTACTGTGGCGTACTCCCTGACCCGGATTTTAATTTAAACACAATCGAGTCTTTCGTTATCTGTGGCAGATCAAAACATGAATTACGCATGGCTTGCTCCTTAACGGAAGGGGCATATTTTGGTAGTGAAAACATAAGTCGTTTTTGTTTACCTTAGCAAAATGTGTTTACAACAAAATGTTGTATCAGTAATATAAACTGAGTATATTGCAGACAAATACGTACACTGTTTTACTAATGACAGACAATGGAAAAAGGTAATTTCGAATTATTTTATTAAAAAAATGCAATATTAAAAATAAATGATGGAAACACAGTTTCCAAGGCTAAGGAGTCCCAATAAAACTTACATTTAACATATTTATATGTAAAGTAACAGTTTTTGTTGCTTCTGCGCAGTTCATATCTATTGCAACTTTTCCCTTGAATATGAAGGTAGTTGGGTCTGCTGAATACATTTCCGGTTGTAACCTGAGGTCATAATGTATCGGAACCATGGATTTTGGGAGTCGAACATCCTTCAGCATCGGTATAGCCGATGTCGCAGACGGCGAAGCACTCGGTGTTTGGGTGTTTGCAGGGTTGGTGGTTAATTGTGGACATTGCACAGCTAAATAATTGTAAAGGCAATTTAATATGTTTATAGAATAAAAATTGCACAATGGTATTTGGACGCATCAATAAAAATCTGCACATGTCAAACGTTTAAAGTAACAGTCGTTTAAGTGTAACCTTTGTGAAATCATTCTCGTAGTATTTGAAACCCACAAAACTCTTTTAAAAACTATATATTTCAAAGATCAATTTATTTACGTGGTATCTTCTTAAAGTACATTCTGGAGCCTCTGGGGCCTGGTACAGAAGTTTTTTTAGATTTTAAGTCAGTTATCACCGCTATTCAAATTGGTTACTATTCCTGTTTGTCACGTGTTTTTCTTTAATGTAAGGAAAAATACCCCAGTAAATAAAAAAAAAAATGGATCATCTTATCAAGTTACAATGCCTTCAACTTTAACATTGACGGCATGTTTTTAAACGCAAACTAAAAATCGTCTGTGGTTAAGTCTTACACGTATTTTGTGGAGCAGTTATTTTCAAAATTCAGATCATTTATTTCAAATCAGACAAAATATTGACTTTGTGCTTATCAGTTATATCCAAACGAATATATTGTTTTTTTTTCTTTTTGAAATTCGGTCAAAATGACATGTTTCAAAGACCTTTGCTCTTTAAAAGCTATAAATTATGTTGCAAAAATATCATATGCTGATAAAAATCTTTATTATGTCTTCAAACAACTTATCTTGTGTCATAGGATAAAGATTTGTTCAAATAAATACATTTGAAGAAAAAAAAAGATTATTGCATGCAAGTTTCACATTTGGTATGCGTGGTGTTTTCGAACTGCGATAGATTGATAAATTAGAAACGAGATAAAAACACAAAACTGATATACATGATATATATTCGATTATTGACATAATCTCCTCAGTGAAAAAAAACATGTCAATTGGAGAATGGGGACGGGTGGGGTGTTGTATTATTGTAGAAATACGGAGATAACTGTGAGGTGTAAAATTCACATGCTGTCTTAAACACACCAAATTATTGAATAATAAACGAGTCAATTGGATATTTTGCGGACCATGCGATAATGAATATGTGTGACCTTTTTTTATTGAGTTTTAGGTCGCAGCAACACAGTATTTAGAGATCATATGGCGACTTTCCCCAGGTTCCTTCTCCCTGCATCATTTTATGCACAAGCGGACACCTGAATATACGTGACATTAACTTTCATATTTTAATCATTATTCAAAGTGAAACAATCGGTAAAACAACTCTTAAACATTTTAAAAATGTCAATCATTTATCATACAGTATAAAGGTTGAAAATAGAGGTAAACACTTCAACAAGCAGGATAACCTGATCATCGTAAGATTATGTTATCTATTACAACAGTCCGCTCTCTATTCATACCCTTTACTTTAATATCATCATATGTAAATATTCAAATCACCTAAATAACACGAGTTGTCTCTTTTTTGTACCCTAATAAAATAGTACCGGTCTTTAATGAAAATGGAAGCACTCAGTATTATTTGCACTCGGTCCTAATGTAAACAAATATATCTTAGGAACCTACCAACGCGGAAGGGTTTGCAGAGTTAGATGCCTAACAACAGTTTGACCGGATTGATGTAAATAACTTATCATATTGATGCACCCGAACTATGTCGGATTAATTTATGTTATTCCTTACTCTTTGTGAATCTAGTCACCTTTTTACAACTTTTACAGTGTCGGCGTTTGTTTATGCTTTAACAAAGTTGTTCAGTTTAATGGGTTGTTTTCCAACAGGACTTTGAAAACATGAACTATCATTATACAAGAAATGAAGTAGAGTAAGTTCTGACAGACAACATAGTGACTGTATGTTACAATTTTTAACGCCCATAAACCTTAAGTATATTCTAAATAAACTGAACATTTTTACTATTTTACTATAATGACCGTAGAAAGGATTTCATGATCAATTATAAGGAAAGTGACCTACCGTCCAGGAATCGAACTCGGGTTCCCCGATTCCAAGTCCAGTGCTTTACCTAGTGAGCTAACCGGACGGCTTGAATTTATTAGAACAGTGTTATAAAATGAACATGTGTTTGCACGCACTCAATATCGAGACATGACTTACTTCATCCCGTATGGCATGTTAGACTATCAAAATCCTTAAAGACATCTTAACATGTTACCCTGTATTTATGTGTTATTTATTTTTTTTCAATTATATTAACATGGTTTCACATTGCTTTCTTCTTTGCAATTTTACCAAAAATATTCATCCACGTTTATCGCTCTTTTTATTATTTTTTCATGTAATGTTCTAAAACATTACCTTGACTATCTTTTTGTTGTTGTTGTGTTTTACTCTGGCCTTCAACATATGTGTCAGGAAAACTGCATTCCAGTGGACGATTTTCGGCAAAGTGGACGATTAAACCAACTCCGACTGAAATCAGAATAGCCACCAGGGCTATGAGAAATCCTGGAAAAAAAATGTAAGATTATTAAAAAGATGAATATATCAAACCTTACGAAGTGAAAAGTATTTATTAAACAATCGAATTTGGATAATGATTGTCGACTCCGATACACGTGCCCCACGTGCGCAGCGCTGTGTAACACCGCATTTTGTTGTCAAACCCACTTCAGTCCCAATGTTCTGTAAATTTCCTAGCGCACTTTGGGGTCAGAGGCACTTCGGGGACAAAACCGTAAAATTAGATTCCAAAGTGCGTTTAAATGTTTCTTATCAACGCACATTGGGTTCCAAAGTTATGAAGGTGCAAACAGAGTTATGCTTAAATTTTGAGTACTGACATATCTTCGACCTGCAACCGTGAACTTTTTAAAATGGAGTTAAAGATGACGGTCGATACATATAATTATACCATCTTAATAGTGTCATTTAAATTTTGAAGTAGCAATAATTAATTACTTAAAACTGTATTTGTTGCTTAGATACGTGCGTACCCAAAGTGCGTTTGACCACAAAGTTTGATGTGTTTGAAATTGAGGCATAAGGGCTCCATTTTCGTCACTTAGAGAAACATCAAGGGTTTTGTAAAATTATACAGAAGAATCCTACTTAAGACCACCCCGTAATTAAAACCAACTGGCTTTTAAGATCGATTTTTATTTGTCTGGGTCGTCAGACCAAACAAATAATGGTAGCGAAATTTCAGAGTCTAATGCTGTTAATTGCAAATGCCGAAAGTAGTCCACTTTTTTGAAGCGGTTACTTCCCTTTATATGTACACTAACGCCGAAAAATTCAGGGGAGATTACCGCGTAAAGATGGTCAAAGTCAGGCGCATTAATTTTCAAGCAAAATAATTCCCGAATGGTCGAAGATTTCTAATATTGTTTTATTTTATTTTCTGATCGAAAATAAGTAAATACAAAGCGGACATTCAATCTCTGACACAGAAGTTTCACGACAAACCTAACAACAAGTAGTTCTCAAAACAGCTTAAAACTAGCGATTTAAAAGAAAGAAATATTTTTATTTTGTTACAAGTATCCAACAAATTACAACGCATTCAAAGTTTAAAAAATAGCGTTGGCTTATAGAATTGTCAATAAATGCACAATCACAAATTACGCGGATGAATATGATTTCATCAATGAAAATACTATTTTTAGCGATGTCGATTACCGAATACTACACAAACCGAGTAGTGGAATATATAGATTCTAGCGATGTCGATTACCGAATACTTTACAAAGAAATCTGACTGCCGAGTAGTGGAATATATAGATTCTACATGTCGGACTGTTTGGGCGAGAAGATTTTCGCTAAATTATTTACTTCAGTTTTAAACAACAGGTTTATCGTGAACAAAATACCTCGAAATTAATAAGGATTACAAACCCGAAATGCAATGGAAGTTCTAAATTTAGTATGGCTTGATTTTATTCAGGCATTGTTTGTATAACTTCTCCGTGGTGCAGGGGCAACGCGCTGGCTTAGTGAGTGAGAGGTCTGGAGTTCAAATCCCAGTTGAGGAAACTTTTTTTTTAATTCTATTTTAAGTGTCTTTGTTAAGGAAGTAGCCATGATATGCAAGGATAAAGTGTGGCTGTCATAAAAAATGAACATAAATGATTTTTTTTGATGCAACTCTAATTATGCAAAGTTCCGTATGTATCAAACTCTGGTGCCTTGCAAGATGAATTATAGTACATAAAAATAAACTTATACAGGAAAATACATACAGATATACAGCACGATTTAGATTGCAAAGATAAAAAAATACCACAGAACTTGCATCCTTTTCTTTTCTTTATAAATATACATGCTTATAGTAAGCTCCAGGATTATTTACATCTGTGTTAAACAACAGTTAAAGTCGTTACAAGTCCTAATTTAGAATAATATGGTTTTTTTCTTCAGGCCGTTTACATATAAATTCACCGTGGCTGAGTGGTTTTCGCGCTCGCTTAGGAAGCGAGTGGTCTGGAGTTCAAATCCCAGTAAAGGCAACTCATTTTTTTTTCAAATTGTTTAAGTCAAATAAACATTGGATTGAATATTTACTACAATTAAAACGCTTGAAAGCATTGGTGGAATTATACATATAATCTCACAACCTGTACCTTTCTTACATTCTGAGACCCAAACAAATTCAGCGCCTTCTGTGCTTTGATTATTTAAGTGATTGTACATGATCCTCAAATAAGACCAGTGGCACATATCAATTATGCTACCACGTAATAATAATAATAATAATAATAATAATAATAATAATAATAATAATAATTATAATGATGATAATAATAACAATGATACTAATGATATTTATAAAAACATAAAACAATATAACATGTACGGGAATATACAGTAAACGTTTAATGAATTTTTATTGTATATTAATTTATCATCGTTTGGAAAGTTTAACTATATGTTGTGGAGAAATTTGGTTCACAGTACGATTTATTCATGTAGTAAGTGGTAAATGTTCAGTAAAATAACATTAAAAATTCATGTGCCTTTTATTACTCTGTGCGTACTGCTTTCGCGGGCATTTATTTTAGTCATATTTTAAATGACAAAATGAAATAACAATAAAAAATGCAAAATATAAAACAATGAACAATTGAAAATCGAAAATACATTTATATAATTTATAAAATAAAGTAAAAAAGGTCTAAACATTTTAAATTGCCATTTAAACGTAGATTTTCGTTATCAGTTTATTGATTGTTTCTAAAGTTGTCACTTGAATTTACTTCTATGATAACATATTATTAAGTATTTGATTACAAAATTATACAGATATGAACACGAATGAGTCGCATATAAAACATTAAATATTATTGACACACATTAAAAAATGTGGATGAATCATTTCTAAAATAAAGTCCCTAAACTTGAATAAGTCTATAATGCACGCATTTTTCATAAGTATTTCAATTATTGATAATACAAAAATCTATCATTTGAATATTACATATTAAATATATTTTATGAAAAACAAAATGTTGATAAAGTTCTAACTTGCATTGAATGGACATTTATATGATAAATAATAATAATTTGTTTCAAGTAATTTATTATCTTCTAATCAAAATATATGCATTATTGACTTACCATAATGGACCAAATTTAAGCCTGACGTCGAATTATCTGATTTTCGTTAGCTTATAAGTAAGACACATTAAAAACAACTAAACTGTTTCTTTGCCATTCTTGACTTTTTCGTAGAATTTCTGTTGTAAGATAATCGTTTCCACGTTTGTAAAATGTTCCTAAATTTTGTATTAACTTGATGTCATTCAAAAAAGTTTTAAGTAAAAGATTTTGATGAAAACAAAACATACCTGTGGCCGTTCGAACATAGCATCCACCGTCCTTCCCAGACATTTTATCTTCTCCAACTACTGTAGATTCGGAGTTGGATAGATTACTTAATTCATATTTAGACGACATTACATCACTCACTGGCTAGCCGCTGTGATCAAAGCGTGATGATAAAGATACATGGGTACAGGTTAAGTTGTGTACTAGAATTCAATACTCCTGATAAAAAATTGAAATATATTTACCGGAGGCTATTCATGAATGTTAAGAATAAACAGTGCGTGTACTGCAAAAAATACTTAAATCAAATACCAAAATAATTAAATTGTATCTTTTAAATTAAATAAAATAGTATTAGATCAAATTGTGTCGTGTTTTTGTGTGTGATTTTTTATTTCGCATTCTAGCGGCGAAAAAGAGAAATGAAGAATAAATTAGGTAAATACGAAAGCCTAATAGTGTCAAATGAAATCAAAAATAAAAATGCAAAGGCGTTATAACGCGTATAAAGGCGTAGTAACGCGAATCAAAAGGCGTAATTACGCGAATCAAAAGGCGTAATTACGCGAAAAAAGGCGTAGCAACGTGAATAAAAGCGTTATAACGCGAAACAAAGGCGTTATAACGCGAATAAAGGCGTAGTAACGCGAATCAAAAGGCGTAATAACGCGAATCAAAAGGCGTAATTACGCGAATCAAAAGGCGTAATTACGCAAAAAAAGGCGTAGCAACGCGAATAAAGGCGTTATAACGCGAAACAAAGGCGTTATTACGCGAATAAATGCGTAGTAACGCGAACCAAAAGGCGTAGCAACGCGAATCGAAAGGCGTAGCAACGCGAAAAAAGGCGTAACAACGCGAATAAAGGCGTTATTACGCAAATCAAAAGGCGTAATTACGCGAAAAAGGCGTAGCAACGCGAATAAAGGCGTTATAACGCGAATCAAAAGGCGTAGCAACGCGAATCAAAAGGCGTAGCAACGCGAATCAAAAGGCGTAATAACGCGAATCAAAAGGCGTAATTACGCGAATCAAAAGGCGTAATTACGCGAAAAAAGGCGTAGCAACGCGAATAAAGGCGTTATAACGCGAATAAAGGCGTAGTAACGCGAACCAAAAGGCGTAGCAACGCGAATCGAAAGGCGTAGCAACGCGAAAAAAGGCGTAAAAACGCCAATAAAGGCGTTATTACGCAAATCAAAAGGCGTAATTACGCGAAAAAAAGGCGTAGCAACGCGAATAAAGGCGTTATAACGCGAATCAAAAGGCGTAATAACGCGATTAAAAAGGCGTAATAACGCGAATCAAAAGGCGTAATTACGCGAAAAAAGGCGTAGCAACGCGAATAAAGGCGTTATAACGCGAATCAAAAGGCGTAATAACGCGAATCAAAAGGCGTAATAACGCGAATCAAAAGGCGTAGCAACGCGAATCAAAAGGCGTAGCAACGCGAATCAAAAGGCGTAATAACGCGAATCAAAAGGCGTAATTACGCGAATCAAAAGGCGTAATTACGCGAAAAAAGGCGTAGCAACGCGAATAAAGGCGTTATAACGCGAAACAAAGGCGTTATAACGCGAATAAAGGCGTAGTAACGCGAACCAAAAGGCGTAATAACGCGAATTGAAAAGCGTAATAACGCCTTTATTCGCGTAATAACGCGAAACAATAGGCGTAATTACGCGAATCAAAAGGCGTACTAACGCGAATAAATGCGTTTTAACGCGAATCAAAAGGCGTAATAACGCGAACCAAAAGGCGTAATAACGCAAAACAAAAGGCGTTATAACGCTAATTTAATACCATATAAATTCCAAACAGTGGCCTATTAATGTATGGAAGGAAGAACAATGTTGATTTAAATGAATTGATCTAGATGTACGTTTTATTATATGCCCGAAAGAATTTCGGGCATATTACGTTATATCCCCTGGCGTCCGTACGTGCGTCCGTCCGTCTATCTGGCTGTCCGTCCGTCCGTAAGCAATTTGGTTTCGGGAGCATAACTTAAGTTCCATTTGGCCCACAATATTCAAACTTCGTAGGAGGATTGTTATTTGAAGGAGGTAATACTTTATAACCTATAAGTCACCAAGTCATCTTATATTGGCAAATATTAAAGAGTCTTTATTAGTTTATGACAAATAGTTTGCATAAGTACTGTGCAAATGGAATGAAAGTTATTGTAAATGTATATTGTATACGAGTTTATATCTTGAGCAATAAATTCAGATCAATATTGGTCTTCCTTTCTCGCAAATTTGATTAGTATAAATATGGTATTAAATTGGCATTATAATGTGTTTTAATTTGCGTTATTACGCCTTTTGGTTCGCGTTACTACGCCTTTATTCGCGTTACTACGCCTTTTGATTTGCGTTATTACGCCTTTATTCGCGTTATTACGCCTTTTGATTCGCGTTATTACGCCTTTATTCGCGTTATTACGCCTTTTGATTCGCGTTATAACGCCTTTATTCGCGTTACTACGCCTTTTGATTCGCGTTATAACGCGAATAAAGGCGTTACTACGCCTTTTGATTCGCGTAATAACGCCTTTATTCGCGTTATTACGCCTTTTGATTCGCGTTATAACGCCTTTATTCGCGTTGCTACGCCTTTATTCGCGTTATTACGCCTTTTGATTCGCGTTGCTACGCCTTTATTCGCGTTCTTACGCCTTTTGATTCGCGTTGCTACGCCTTTATTCGCGTTCTTACGCCTTTTGATTCGCGTAATAATGCCTTTATTCGCGTTATAACGCCTTTGCATTTTTATTTTTTATTTCATTTGACACTATTAGGCTTTCGTAGGTAAAGATACCACATATTTCATATGTCGTGTTTTCGCATCTAATATTTTATGTCATTGCATTTATGTATATTAACTTCGTTTTTTTTTTGGTATTATAACATCCTTCCTTGTTCGCATTGATACGTTTTCGCATTTTCGCCCTGATGCTTAAATTGTGCCTTCGTGTTACAGTTATGCATGTGAAGATTTATTGCACAGATGACATATGCCATAGAACGATTAATAATGGCGTCAAAAGTTACTTATATAATATTTAAAACTTATAATAGCAAAAACACGATTTGTAGGTATTAAACTACTTTGAATTTTTGCTAGTACCCTCTTGTTATAAAAAGTTCAGTCGTTAGCCACTTTCAGGTGGACCCATGATCTAATCAGACAACCAGGACCAAGACACAAAATAGTGCTTAAAACCTTGGTTTGAAGCAGAAACCATTATTGACAAGACCGCCTAACGACCATTATGCCAGATGAGTCACGTGCTGTAGAATGACGTCATTTTAGCGAACCGCATAAACGACACGAGTGCATCAATTGTTTATTTCAACACATGAGATAATATCAAAAACAAAATCGTGCAATACGTGTTCATGATACCATGGAATGTAAGGGATATCAAACGCAATTTTCTACCGTTGTTTGTATGTATCGATATGTCAAATACCAAAATGTATGGGGACGCAATTATAACCGATTCAAAATTGTTAAACAACTATAACAAACTAGTCATTCATTTAGCTAAGCAACATGTGAGTTCCAAATTCACCACTCCATCAAGATTATAAAAGTTTTGGGTGTGAATAGCGTCAATTTTATTTACACAAGTTTTCAATCATAGTAACGAACTAAAGTGCCGTCCCTATTCATTCATGTATATTTTTCGCCGGACTTTTTTTTCTCATTTACATTAACATTTAGTATAAATATGAAATTTGTTGAGTTGTTAATGATTAAACGAAACAGGGATCAGAAGTATTGCGAATTCAACAAAATAAGCGTTAAATATTGTTCAAACTTAATTAAAAGCAATGCACAATGAAGACCCATAATACCTGAATATGTTCAGTCACCGTGTGACAAAAGTACATTCAAAATGATTAATTGATAAGATTTTTATTTTAAGGTTTTCGGTCACACTGATATTTTATCCTTAAGCTTCTTTTAGAATAAAATCGATACACTTATTAAATTTATATATCTAGCTCTATGGAACGCCATGACTGTCTTATCCTATCAATGTTTTTGCTATCTTGTGAAATTATGATATTATTTTGTCATTAAAGCACAATAACATGTGCAATTTACATCATGTCTTGTCTAAAGACAATGCTGACTTGTTCAAACAGCATGTTAACTTGTCAAATAATCATCATGACATATGCAGACAACATGTTAACTTGTCAAAGTATTATGATGACTTGTGCGAACGACATGTTAATTTGTCAAAATAACATGATGACTTGTGCAAACGACATGTTAACTTGTCACGATTTCATGATGACATGTGCAAACAGCATGTTAACTTGTCGAATTATCGTAATGACATGCTCATAATACCTTAACAAGTTAACATGTGTTTTGCACAAGTCATCACGATTCTTTGACAAATTAACATGTTGTCTGCACAAGTCATCATGATAATTTGACAAGTTAACATTGCATTTGCACACGTCATCATAATACATTGACAAGTTAGAATGGAGTTTGCACAAGTCATCAAGATACCTTGACAAGTTAACATGCTGTTTGCACATGTCATCATGAAATTTGGACAAGTTAACATGTCGCTTTCACAAGTCACAATGATACTTGGACAAGTTAGCATGTTGTGTGCACATGTTATCACGATGATTTGACAAGTTAACATATTGTTTGCACATGTCATCATGAAATTTTGACAAGTTAGCATGGCATTTGCACAAGTCATCATTATACTTGGACAAGTTAACATGTCGTTTGCACAAGTCATCATGATACTTGGACAAGTTAACATGATGTATGCACATGCCATAACGATAATTCGACAAGTTAACATGCTGTTTACAAATGTCATCATTGAATTTTGACATGTAAGCATGGCATTTGCACAAGTGATCATAATACTATGACAAGTTAACAGTACGTTTTGACATGTCAGCATGATACAAGATAACATGTCATTTGCACAAGTCATCTATGGAAACGTATATGGTACACCATGATGATATGATTAAGTCTACTTTAGGTAAGTCGACTTGTTATGATAACAAAAGAAAATGAACTGTACCAGTTGTCTACGTAAGCTTATTTTTCTGACATAAGTTAATGCAACATTATTTTAAAATATGCCATGCCGACGTATGCTATGTCAGCTTATCCACATAATTTGTACATCCTT